ATGTGGAAAATAATGTGTTTTTTTAACCTTAAACCGCATAAACACATTTCATTACACCAAATACACAAAATAATGTTGTTTTTAGCAACATCATATGACCCCTTTAAAACCTGTGGACTACAGTCTACTGAAAAAAATAATGAGCTTTTTTGATTGTATACATGTGGTGACTTTTTTGATGGCATCTTAGTGCATTTTATCATTATAAAATGAGTTTTCAGTGCTTTTTAGAGCATTTTTGTGATGTCAGTGTCCTTATTTATGTTAATGTACAGTAGGGTTGTATGAATCGCCGTCTTTTCTGTTACTAATCTGTCTCTAACGGATGCAGGTATTCTGTTTGCATTATGTTAGATTAGTTAAAGATTATTGGTATGGTAACCAGTATAAGTGTCCAGAATGACCTGCTCCATCTGTGTGTAGTTGTGAGCATTCATGAGAGAACTGTACTGATGTGTCATTTCAGGAACAGTGGAAGTGGAGCACATTATCAGCGCAAAACTACAGCTGAAGAAGAAAGCTGAGGTAGGATGGCTCTTAGTACTTTTTTTTTGTTTTAAAGGAATTCAAATATCAAAACAATGAATGCAACAGTGTTAAATGTCATGTGTGCAAATCTTGTTCGTTATCACTGTATTGTAACAGATTATCAGTATTATCACACATTATGTCACAGATTAACAGATCCTAAACGTTCAAGCGTGACCTTTGGCTTGACTAAATCCTTTCAGTGATTTAAATGCAATGCTTATTCTTGTGATTTTGATCTGTGTAAAACTGACAGAGCTTTTGTTTTCTTTAGCATCTCTGAATGTTTGCTCTGCTTTGTTCTTGTTCATCAGGCTCTTTAGCAGGCAGCAGGTTTTGCTCAATGAAAAATAATGAAAAATGTTTAGTTTCTGTTAGTGGGTTAGTTAAATGTGTTGCTTACAGCACATGACAGGTAATCTTGCAATGTAATACCCCTTGAATACACATGAGTGCATTCAAGGGGTATTATATTGCAAGATTACCTCCATCCATCCATCCATCCATCCATCCATCCATCCATCCATCCATCCATCCATCCATCCATCCATCCATCCATCCATCCATCCATCCATCCATCCATCCATCCATCCATCCATCCATCCATCCATCCATCCATCCATCCATCCATCCATCCATCCATCCATCCATCCATCCATCCATCCATCCATCCATCCATCCATCCATCCATCCATCCATCCATCCATCCATCCATCCATCCATCCATCCATCCATCCATCCATCCATCCATCCATCCATCCATCCATCCATCCATCCATCCAAGATTAGCATTTAAATAAAAAACATATATGCCAATGTAAAATATCGAGTTATTGTTAGTATTATATATATATATATATATATTTTTAAACATCTGATCTTGACACATTGTGTCTACAGATTCTTTGTGAGAATATTCATTTTTTTATGATTTGCTGGCCACATGACAATAGATTTAAAATACCAAAATATTTAATATTTTAATATTTATTGTGTATTCAAATGTATTCAAATCATCATTGCAATTGTATCATTATTACTGAATAATTTAATAGATTCAGACTAAAAAAATATATTTTTTAATAGATTCAGACTAAAAGGTTTTTTTTTTTTTTGACTGTTTTTAGGGGTCAAACATTGTTTCATTCTTTAGATTGTTTTGCGCTGCTTGATGTAAGTGCTTGTAAAGGTTACAGGAAGTGCAGACAGAATAGGGAAGGATGTGGTTGTCAGCCAGGGGCGGAGAGGTTTGGGAAAATATAATGTCCTTTTTTGTAACACATATCTTCTAAAGACTTCCCTAAAAATATATTTTGTCAAATGATTGAACTTCAGAATTTATTTGAATTACAGATCTCCGATGTATTGCGTCATCAGTTCAGTTTCAGTTCAGTCTGACCGAATTTAGTATCCATAAAAGTTTCTTTGAGATACAAGACCTTCATTTGTCTCCATTAAGAGCAGCTGCAGTCAAAAAGACATGACCATGACAGCTTGAGTTATCACATGAGACCTGATTCTCTGGCGGAATTACTTTTATCTTGAGGATATGATGTGTAGAGCTTCATAAGACCTTCTGCAAACCTTCTGTTCTTGTTTATAAGACCTTCCTTAGAAGAGACTAGCTGTTCTGTGTCTTTACTGTTTTGCTATTTGTTTTCAGCATTTGAAGGCAGACCTGATGAGGCAGTTCGACACTCAAGTCAATGAATTCATGGACAGTCTGATAGAGGAGTCTGCCAGTCTGGGTTCGTCCCATGTGAGCACAGTCTTTCCTCTCTCAGATAAGGAGAAAAGCAAACTCAGGTACTGAAAGCATGCACAAACCGGATCGCAATGAGTGCCACAGCTGGCTAGTACACTTCACTCTCTTCTCTTTTACTGTCATTCAAATCTGCATTTGTGATTTCTTTTTCATTGTCTGATCTTATCACATGACTAGCGTGCCAGTCTATCAGCATAGTGCTTTTATCGCACATTCTTTTAGCCTTTTTCTTTTTTATTCTGTTGTCTAACCCTTTTTATCTTCCTCTCTGCTCCTGTAGGCATACACGACCTTCCCAAAGCCAAAGCAAGCAGTTCGTTATCCGTCGATCCCTGTTAGAGTAAGTCATGGATGATCTTGCTGATATGTGTCAAATCTGAGATTTGTTTCTGTCTGTGGTCAGATTAGCTGACTTTAATAAACCTGTTTGTTGTAGTAGCACAGTTTATGAAATTTGGTTCATTTAGTGTTTAATTAGGAAGACGAGAAACATATGGTTGTACTGCTTATGAATATTTGTAAAGTAATAGTGCTTATTACATGATTTTTCTGCAGTGATCTGTTTGAGGTGAACCACATTCGCACCATCTATCACATGTTCATCGCCCTCCTCATCCTCTTCATCTTCAGCACGCTTGTCGTGGATTTCATCGATGAGGGCAGGTTAGAACATTCACTGTTCATAAACACTTTTGGAATCTGTTCTGCTTCAGTTTTTTAAGCTGCAGCCTTGTTCTAAATGTTGAAGTTCTGACCTTGCCAACAGTGTGGTTTCATAAATGCATAATGGTTTTGTTTTTGCCAAAATATGAGGAGATATATTTTGTCTTCGCAAGCCAATGCACAATGTATTCAATGCATACTACTTCTGGCTCGTGTTAAAAGTACATTTCTGATATGTGTTAGAATTTTGAATAGTTTTAGCTCTTTATGTTATTTAAATGGGATTTTCTCATGTTAATTCTCATTCTCAAGAAAACTAAACTAAAAACATATTCACACATGTAACATGTTTACAGTTAGTGTATTCTAGCTGGTGTAAGGATAAAGTTATGAAATAAAATGACATGTTATGTGAACAAAAATAATTAACAAATAAAGCAATAAGCCCCAAGAAGCCGTGGTTTACAGTGAATTTATAACAGCTAAGCGGCGTTGTTAGGCACGA